ACAGCCAACGGAAAGCATTAGCAAAGATCTAGAGTCATGCTGCTGTGTACTGTGCTCTCAGGAAGCCTGGCCTTGGGGGCAGGGAGTATCAGCACTCTCCGTGCTTTCTGATTTGGCTTCCTGCAAAGCTGCACCCCCAGTCACTGTGGGTTCTCTTGGTTTAGCCCACTAGAAAGTTTTGAGTTTTATAGATCACTGCCACCAATGAAAAAACAAGAGTCAAATACTTATGCCTTAACATTAGGGTCAAGAAAAGCATAAATGGAATTTGAGGTAAAGCTGGTCAAATGTGTGCCCATTCTGCATTTTGCCAAGAAATAGGCTGGATATGTATGTGTACACACAGACGGGTAAATTCACAGGCCAGAGATTGAATTTGGTGTCTTCCAAAAATTGGTTACTTTTAAATTAAGAATTCATGCATGTTACCTAAATGCTACTTTTAATTATTCTCCTGACTGAAACCACTATCTGTAAACCACACTCCTTGGGGGAGGATAAACATGTACCACCCAAGCACTGTCCCTCTGCTGCCTGTTTCTAAGCCACATCAGTCTACAGATGTCAACAATGAGAGTGTCAGAGATATTTTCTTAGGGACTTTCCCCAGGAAGAATTCTGTAAGCTTCCACCCCACAGACAAAATGCTCCTAAAGCCAACCCTCTGCCACAATACTGCAAAGGGCTCAACTCAATACAGCCCTTATCAGGGACGTCATCTAGTGACTAACACAGTAACCAGCCGGGAACCTTAAAGCCACAGCTGGAAGGGGAGTGGACATCAGTGTGTTTTCCATAACTAAAGCTTTACATTTGTTCTTAAATAATTATGTTGTGGATTTGATTGTTCAATGATTATTTTAAGTCAGAACTGGGGAGCAATTTCTTATTTTCCACCCAAAAATAGTGAACCAGAAGTTTTTGAAAAGTTTTTTTTTTTTTTTTTTTTTTTAAGAAGGCAGAAGGTCAGGGGCTGGAGAGATGGATCAGTGGCTAAGAGCACTGGCTGCTCTTCCAGAAGACCCAGATTCATTTCCCAGCACCCACATGGCAGCTCACACCTGTCTGTAACTCCAATCCAGTTCCAAGGGATCCAACACCCTCATATAGGTAAACCAATGTACATGAAACAAAAATAAATCATTAAAAAATTTTTAAAAAAGAAAAAAAGGCAGGTCATTTTTTCTCAAAACAAAGAAAAACATTTCATCATCCCATGTATAGAATTAATGATCCCATCTCACCTCTATCATCCTTTCTTCCAGGGGTCCTGCATCTCAAGCATTTGAGACTCTGGGTCCACTCTGACTCACAGGAGCAAGCCAAGGAACACTGAGGTGTTAGGATACAGAGGTCCAGAGCTTTAGAAAAATCACTTCTATTGACCACAGGCTAGTCAGTCAGGCCTGAACCACCTTCATTTAGGTGAGCACTAGGTACAGGGAGCTTGACCTCATGGTGATACTTCCTATCTCTGCAGCAGCAGTTTCATGGGAGAAACAAATGAAGAACAAGCTGCCACATTATTCCAAAGTCAACCCTCAGCACTGGGTGTACAGGTTAGGGAAGAGGACTAAGAAAGCTTTACTGGTGGTAATGAACTTCTCATGATTTTTACCACAGAAACTAAACATCAGCATTCCAGCTGAACTGTCAAATTGGACTGTGGTAGACTTCATTTTGAATACACTGACTGAGTCATAATGGATAATAGAGGATAATGTCTATAAGCAAATGAGGAATGTCTTTACTGGGATCTGAGATTTAAACAATGTAACCACTCATCATTAAGATGACACCACTGTTAGTTTTTCTGAGGGTATATGTGTGTATACATTCATACATACATATGAAAACTTAAAAGGTTTGAGGCAGCTCTCATATATATAAGCTAGCTATACTGTCCAAGATAAAAATCTCTACTCAAGAAGTCATACAAACATGAAACCAGGTCTTATCACAGCAGCATTCATGAGATTAACTCAGTATTTTCTGGCTGCAAGTACATAAATTACATTCCAAGAAATAATCTGTCCCTCCATCTCCTCAGACAAAAGGTAGTCTGAACAAATAAAACAATCAAGGAGACTGCAAAGAGAATGGGAACCAAGAGCAGGGATCTGTCTGCTGAAGACCACACCATCATCACCGACTGCACTAAAACTGACATTTCAGAATGCCCCCAAACAGGAATGAGACGCTGCTACCATCTAAATTATAATAAATAATACCTGAAAATTTGCTGCTCGTCAGTCACAAGGACGTTTAACGGTGCAAAGTTCCAGAGCCACTTGTACGATCAGCACAGCAGACCAAGGACTGCTAGCGTCTTGCAGACATGCACAGTCCTAAGGGAAGGACGAGTGATGCGGACACACAAGAACCGCAGGTGACAGACAGGAGGGCAGGATCGAGGGAGCCTGGGTGGAACAAGTGTGGCACACGGTGTGAAGAGACGAATGAGGAGCAGGATGTATCAGGTCACCAAAGCCTCAGGCCACCATAAGAAAGGCCCTTGGCTGGCCCTGTGAAGAGACACTTGGGAAAGTCGTCCAGAGGGAACAAACAGGGCAAACAGGAAGGGCCATCCTAGATTGTCTCGAGGTACTTTATACCCTCCAGCAAAAAGGACCCTTAACTCTTCCAAGTACTTAACAATCTTTGAAAAAAATGTCCTAAGGACACATGTGGGCAGCTCTTGGAAGAGGTAGGGAAACCAAATGGGCATCTGCTTTCTTTGATTTCAACTAGCAAAGCCTACTAACATGATTGCTTTCACTCGGAGCCTCAGTCTGGATGAACTGACCACAAAGGCACAACAAATGTGAAGGTAAAGAAATGAAGGGGAATCTGACAGCTTAAAAACGAATCAACTAAACACTAAATTGCATATTGTTTACGATTTAAAAAAAACCCACCCTAGATATTAAACAACTTGCAAATATATAGAATACAGATAAAAGTACAGAATTAGAAGATTAAACTCTCAAGAAAACACATGCAGATTCCTTCTGGCAAAGTGACAGGCCCTGAGGGCAACAGTAACTCCCACAGGACTAAGCCCAACTAGAGGGCCAGGACACTGTCGCAGAATCACAGTGGCTGGGAGACAACAGGCATCAGAAACTATGCGGCTGACTGACTAAATGTCTACCATAGTGTAGTCAGTGTTAACTGGTGTGGCTCAGACTGCAGCAGGAAAGCGGCTTTAAATCAGAGCCCAATTCAGTGGTATTCCAAAGACTGGCCTAATCCAGTTGAATTTTCTAATCTCGCTAAAAAGAATCTCAAATTACTGTGGAGCCGAGATGCTAAATAATGCAGATAACTTAAATCAAGACTAATCAACCAAGAGGGAGGTCTCAAGTATCATCCAGAACAAACCCCAGCCCTACCAAAATGGGGGAAATCAACAAAAACTAGGCCATGGTAGACAAAGTGTAATGTAAGCCCACACCATTTCACTGGGAAGCAAACATGACCACTTCACATGAGTGCTTCCACTGCGACATCCGTGCTCCACGATACCAGGACGTCTCAAGGGAAAATCCCATTTCACACTGTACAGAAAACCTAGACTTGAACCCAAACCACAGAGCTGTGTGCACTGTTGGCATCCCTGTCAGCATGTCTGATAACCTCCCACTACTTTCAAAGCTGTCCTCCGCACCCACAACTATCCCGACAGCCAGCACAAGTTTTTCAGTCTGTGAAAACTTCCAACGAGGGGCAGTTTACAGTGCTGATCTCCATCAGGCTCAGGAGCAATGATGCTCAGGACATTTCCTCTATCACCAGATGGGCAGTAGACACAGTGATATAATCAGTGTGCAGCAACAAGTCCAGAAGCCAACAGTAGCTCTCCATACTGGTGAATCTTTACATAAAAGAGCTGTTAAGGTGGCACCGACCTGGTTTAAGTAAGAGATTTCCACAACAAAGATCTGAGGATTAGACTAGAGTGAGATGACCAGCAGCCTATCCCAAAGCCGTGCCACCTTCAACCAATCATCAACTGAAGGTCCATTCTCATCTTTACGTTTGGGTGTGTGCAGGTATGTATAGAATTATGATGCCTGACAGTGAGTCTCCGTGAGCCTGGGCCTTTGGGTTTGATGCTGTCCTAGCAGTGCTGATCTCCCTCAGCTCTTCACTGGCTCCGTCCTTCTAGGTTAGGTGTTAGCTCAAGCGTTGCTTCCCCAGATGCCTTCCCAATGTCCTACCAGAAGCATCTTGTCTGCCATTCTCTAGACAGTACCCTGTTTACCTCCCACACAGACACTTGAGCACAGGTTAAGTCAACTGCTATCTCAGCAAAGGCAGGAAACAGAGCTATCTTGTTCACCTTCACCCAAAGGTTAAAGTTCATGGCACATTAACAGGTGAACAATAAATATTTGAATAAAAAATTACTATACCAAATTTACATGAACATATACATACACACACAAATATAGGAAAATGGGAAATATCAAATAGAAAACCAAATGTTGAAAAGCATCAAAAATGATACCTGTACATACATGTGATTATGGTTTCAAAGAGTTAAGTACCAAAGATATTTGTCTGCAAAAATATGAAAATTTACAAAAAGGAGATCAGGAAGTATTTTCCATTTGTATGGAGCTGCAAACAAGAAGGGAGTCAAGACTGGACATGAATGACTGTTGTGTGTGGCAGAACAGCCGGAATCCCCTTAGTGCAGAGCAGAAAAGGTCAATGACCACATGCCAGGGTTGGTCAAGAACAGCTCAGACTGCAGGTAACTGCAGGCTAAAAATCTTGATAAACGGCTTAGCTTCCAATCATTAAAATTTTGAAATTAGGTAATAGAACATTCTATTTATAAATTACATACAATACACTTTAAAAACAGATGGCCCCTACCTACTGACCATATCTCAGTGTCACTCTATGTATTTGCAAAAGCAAGTACATTTGCCAAAGGTCCATTTTGTAACACAATCTGGTAGTTAAGTGAGAGGAGGCAGAAGGTCAGCTGCCTTTACAGAAAGATCCTTTATTATTAGACTGGCTTTGGAAGAAGGAAACACATACTGAGGTGATTCTAGAATAGCCCTGAAAATAACTATACCGCCACCTGTGCATGTTTGGAGATGACAGTTATCAACAGACCAACAGCTTACACAAGTCCATTATCATCTGCTGAAGTCTGGCTCTGAGAAAAAAGACTTCCTCTCCCCAAACCCTCACTGGACCCAGGATTAACTGCTCCAGCAGCCACCAGTGCAGCTGTTTTCCACAATGACATCATGCTCTACTGTGTTATATCAGAACAGAAATGGGATGAAGAGTCCAGAAGCTTCCAGTAAGGTTTCCTTCTAATGAAATTCAGCAGGAAATAAACACACACAGAAAGAACGATTGCTAAGATCCATTGGATACATTAAGGTCAAGGATTTCCAAGTTAATCCACTTTTCTTCCCCCAAGTTTGTTTATTTTTGGTAAAAGGCAGAAAAATTAGTTTCTACAAGGAAAATCTGCTTCTAAATGATAATTTGAAAATCTTTATATATATATATATATTATATATTAAAAAAGACACAAAAATAATGGCGAAGTGGGGACAACAGATTAGGTACTGTGACTTTATAAAGGCTTGCCTAGACCAAGAAGCAGCATACACACACACACCTCAGGTATGCACACTAAAAATGTATCCAAACAGCATAGTACTGCAATACTGGGTCTCCATACATTACCTGTACACATAACTACTACTGTTATTAATAACCTGTGGGACACTGTCTTATGCCCAGCAAGACATCACTAAGTCTTTAAGTCTTCTCTTCCCCCTCAGGGGAGGGCATTTCTAGACACTAATTTTCCCATCTAATATTCAAACATAGGAAACAGAATCCACAAGGTGCTTTAACTGGTGAGACCGCAAGTGCTGTTTTCACTCTGTAATTTTTGGATAGCAAAGAGTCCACGGGATCATACACAAATACTATGACAGGAGAGTTGTTACACGAAGTCTTTTGATGGACTTGACTGGTGCTGGACTTTATGACATGCTCGAGCATCGCACCGAAGGGGATCCCATCTGAGTTAATACTTTGTCCAACCACTGCAGAGGGCCATTCAGATGAAGTTCAATCCAGCAAGGAGTACTTGTTACTGTCTGCCTCCTATTTGAAAGAACACAAAAAACAATTAGGAAATGAAAAGGCTGTATATAGTAAAATCAATTTTTTAGAATAATTATTAATTTTGTATATATAATTATTAGTTTTAAAATGATTTTTACTGCTAAAGTGATCTAATGAGTTTTGTCCTTTGTCAAAACCTGTATCTATTTATGTGTGGCACATGTATGCATATGTATGTGGACAAGCGCATGCAGAGGCCAGAAGGGTTGTGTGGGGGGGGCAGTTTGGGTTGGGTGTCCTCCCCAGTTGTTCTTTACCCTGTTCCCTTGAGTTATGGTCACTCACTGAACCTGAACCTCCTATGCTGGCTAGAATGGCTGACCAGCAAGTTTCTAGGATCCATCTGTGCCCCAACACCATCCCATGCTGAGGTTACAGACACACACGGGCATGTCTGGCTCTTCTCAGTGCTAGAGATTAGCCTCAAGTCCTTATTCTTCCATAGCAAAGGCTTTTTACCAACTGAGCTATCTCCCTAGAATTTCATCTTTTTGAAAGATTTACGAAATCATCCTTTCCTTCTGAAGTTAAATTAGTGTACTCAGGGCACACTTATGAGAGAGAATTTAGGTAGTAGTATTAGTGAGGTTAGGAGGGGAGCCATAGACCAGGAAAGACCGCCTCAAGGAAACTGACACACCTGATCACACTACTCTTACATCTATCAAATGAAGTCTAAGTCAAAAAAGATTCAAATTGAAAGTCTGCTGACTCAAGCTAAAGCCTTGCCACACAATGTTAAGACTTGGAGCTAACTTTTCTTTAGATACATAATGAGCAACACCCTTGTCAGCAACATCCCTCAGGCTTCTGGTTGAAAAAGCAAAATTCAAACCTTCTGGTGCTTTAACAAAGGGGCCATTGCCTATTCCCTGGATCACAGAACATCCTGCTGCTCTAGTCTTAGACATTGGATTTAGCTCTATCTTATTTTCTACAAAGTGTCAGTCAATACATTTACTTTTGCTTCTTCAATACGACATACTTCAGTCATGATAAAAGGTTATCATCAGCGCTCCAGCTGTAAACAATTCATGCCCAACAGCATTTAGGACTGGATGTCTAAGGAGCTGGAGATAACTGGGCAGTTAACAGGTGTGCACCTGCTCTTTTAGATGACTGAGTTCAGTTCCCATCACCGGCATCTGGCAACTCATAAACACCTGTAACTCTAGCTTACATTTGTAAATTCAGCTAACACCTCTATTTCACAGGCACCTGCACTCACACAAGCATAGATCCATGTATACACAAGATATATACATATAATTAAAAACACTATATATCCAAGCAGGTATATAGTGCTCTGAAACACACAGTGTCACCGCCTTACTAGATACCTGATTTTCAGCACGCTCTACGCTCTAGCCAACTTCCAAGAAAAGGCATCTGAATTTCCACACCGAGAACTCCGGCTCTGCTGCACGGGCAGCAGGCTGGGAGGGGCAGCACACTAACATCTGCTGCCTGGGAGAGCGCACAGTGAGACCACACAGCACACTAACATCTGCTGCCTGGGAGAGCGCACAGTGAG